GCCTCAGCCTCCTGATTAGCTGGGACTACAGGCACGCGCCACCATGCCCAGCTAATTTTTTGTAGTTTTAGTAGAGACGGGGTTTCACCATGTTGACCAGGATGGTCTCGATCTCTTGAGCTCGTGATCCACCCGCCTCGGCCTCCCAAAGTGCTGGGATTACAGGCTTGAGCCACCGCGCCCGGCCTGTAAAATTTTTCTTAATAGAAGAGTGAGGGTAGCAGTCTAAGTCCTTCCAAAGTAAATTCAAGCCTTGCAAAAACTTACTCTTTTAGGGTAAGGAAAATACAAGTTAAGATGATTTCCCCATTTTTCAAAATTTAATTTTTTCTCATTTTATTATCTATATAGAATTGGGAGTTTACTATAAGGGTAGAAACTTGGAATTGACTCCTTTGTTAAAAAAAGAAATTCCTTATTTCATTTTTTTTTTTTTTTGAGACAGAGTCTTACTCTGTCACCTAGGTTGGAGAGCAGTGGCTCAATCTCAGGTCACTGCAACGTCCACCTCCCAGGTTCAAGCGATTCTCCTGCCTCAGCCTCCTGAGCAGCTGGGATTATAGGCATGTACCACCACACCCAGCTAATTTTTATATTTTTAGTAGAGGCGAGATTTTACCATGTTGACTAAGCTGGTCTTGAACTCCTGACCTCAGGTGATCTGCCCTCCTCGACCTCCCAAAGTACTGGGATTACAAGCGTGAGCCACGCCCAGCCTCAAATGTTTTAAGTATCTAGAAGCAAAGATTTGGGATCTTTACAAGAGAATTCCGGTCATATGGGGCCTAAATATGCCTTTCTGCAGAGAAAAAAGAAAAAAAATGAGGGGCCTACATAGAATGTAACATGAGATAAGTCCAGGAAGTACATTTTCCCCAGGGATTGAATAAAGATTCACTGTCCTCATTTTCAGGAAAAATTTCTCACACAGAAATTACATACTAATCAACATTTACTCACGCGAAAAATCCTAGGATGCCCTCTTCCCGATAGATGGTTACTATGGAATCACAAAGTCCACTACGTACACAAGAAGGAAAAGTAAAATACATTAAGATTCTTTTGGAGCTATAAACAAAATAATTTCAATTATCACTTTGGACAAGGTCAAATCTACAACCTCCTTCCCCCACACTTTCCTAGCATCCTTTTAGTCTGCAAAGATAGCTAAATTTAGAGATAGAAGTGAAGCTAGTTCACGTCCGAGTCACGGCACCAGAAAAAAAAAAAAAGTGAAGCTAGTAACTACCTAGGGGTGTAGTGATATGGAGTCCGGGGCTCTGCAACTTACTCTGCAATCCTAGGTAGGCTACAAAACCTGCCTCGGCCTATTTTCTCCTATTTTACTGATTGTTGTGCAGATCAAATGATATGAGATATGAATTTGTTCTACAAGCTGTAAGGTATCATAAAAATACAAAGTAGCATTATTCTAGTACTTTGGCTTCAAAAGATCTCCTTGAGTATATGAAAACAAAAACACTTACCAGTACTTGGATTCTCTGCCAATGAACTGTACCATAGATCTCAGAGTGATCACTGTGGAACATAGAGAAAAGATGTGTAAAACTATGTTAAGACCAGATGCGGTGGCTAACGCCTGTAATCCCAGCAGTTTGGGAGGCCGAGGCAGGCGGATCATCTGAGGTCAGGAGTTCGAGACCAGCCTGACCAAAATGGTGAAACCCCCGTCTCTACTAAAAATAAAAAATTAGCCGGGTGTGGTGGCATGTGCCTGTAATCCCAGCTACTCCCTGAGACAGAAGAATTGCTTGAAGCAGGGAGGCAGAGGTTGCAATGAGCCGAGATCATGCCATTGTACTCCGGCCTGGGCAACAAGAGCAAAACTCTGTCTCCAAAAAAAAAAAAAAAAAAAAACAGAGAAGAAAAAACTATGTTAAGATAGATTTTGATAGCCCCGGGAGAAAAGATTTTCCACCTAAAGACATTTTGCTATCTGGATAAATTTGATAAAAGCAAAAACAAGCAAGCAAATAAAAACATGCAGGCAAGGCATTTTAGTCAACTGCCATGTCAACCTATCTAAAGTGGTCAGGAGAGATCAAGTTATAAAAGAAAGATAAGAAATCAGATTTCAGTTGTCAACTGCAAACATACCATGGAAGGGATGTGTGATGAGAGTAGCAGCAGAACGAGCGATCATCTCTCGAGTTGTCTAGAAACAATCAACACACACTTCTGAAATCTAAATAAATGACACTCAAATGCCTGTGAGAAGGAACATGGGTGGATATCGTGGTATAGGATGAAAAACTGAATGACACAGCCCTCCTGTCCTGGCTGGAGTCAAGAAGAGTAGTTTGAACCAGATGCGACTGATCTCATTCTCATTTTATCATATTTTTCACTCGTGGATTTTAATGTTCTATTATAGTTACTTCTCAAAATTACTCTGCAAAGCAGACTTCTGTTGTTGTTTTCTCAATTTTGCAGGTAAGAGAAACAATAAGGAAACAGGGAAGGTCCCAACAAATAGTCACTAAGCTAAAATAAAAAATATGAGGCCTTTATTGATACTTTTTTTTTTTTTTTTTGAGACAAGTCTCATTCTGTCGCCCAGGCTGGAATGCAGTGGCCTGATCTTGGCTTACTGCAACCTCTGCCTCCCAGGTTCAAGCAATTCTCTTGCCTCAGCCTCCTGAGTAGCTGAGATTACAGGCATGTACCACCACGCCCACCTAATTTTTGTATTTTTAGTAGACATGGTGTTCCACCATGTTGGTCAGGCTGGTCTCTAACACCTGACCTTGTGATCCACTCACCTCGGCCTCCCAAAGTGCTGGGATTACAGGCGTGAGCCACTGCGCCTGGCCTTATTGAAATTATTAAGTTGCTCTCTTATTGGTAAATGATATTGGAGAGCCTGATATCCATTCTAGACAAATGGCAGGCTTCACTTAGTCTCCACCCACATTTTTGGAAGATGAGAAAAACTTTGTTTTGTGACTACAATCCAGTAACTGTGCGGTATCTTAGAGCTGCTGTGTTTTTCTTAATTTATCTTTCTATTCTACGACTCTGTAAGGAAGTAATAAAGAAAATTAAATTGTAATCCTTGCATTTAAGTTCTGGGATTGTAAATGTAGCAGGTCTATCATTTCCTTTTGCATTTAAACAATATCTTTAGTCATTGAGTTTTAAGACGGCCCTCATAACTTGGAGGTAATGACAAGGGAAACAACTAAAAAAAAAAAAAAAAAAAAAAGGCAGCCCTCACTCCTTCTCTAATGGCAGTCCAGAGAAGATCCTATGGGACAGGATGGGCAAACTAAGGGAAATAACTAATTGCATGTATCTCTGCTTTTAAGCAAACTAATTTTATGAAAATTTACAGAAAATAGAGCCCATTTATCCAGTTTCCAGACCTTTAGAAATGTTTGTTTTTGGAACATTTACTTTGGACAGCCGCATTTCCTGAGTAATTATGACTTCATCAACGACAAGACAATGTGAAGACTAACAGAATAGTTCTGAAAGCCAGGCACAGAAACACCTATGGCAGAAGATGGGGGTGGGAAATGGGTGATGAGGAACATTTTAGGGTCAGAAAAATGTTGAAAGAGCATTTCTGGATAGATACTATCAAATATACAAAGGGCCTGGTCGTTATTTTTAACACTTTTTTCTAATGACAGGGTCTTGCTCTGTGATACTAGCTGGAGTGTGGTGGCACAATCATAGCTTACTGCAGCCTCAACTTCCTGGGCTCAAGTAACCCTCCCACCAACAGCCTCTCGAGTAGCTGGGACTACAGGTATGCACCACCACACACCTGGCTATTCCATTTTTTTGTAGAGAGGAGGTCTCACTATGTTGTATAGGCTGGTCTCTTAACTCTTGAGGTCAAGTGACCCTCTTGCTTCGGTCGGCCTCCCATAGTGGTGGGATTACAGGTATGAGCCACCACACCTGGCCTATTTTAACACTTCTATTCCTGAGATTTGCAACACTATTAGAAGACTTTCGGTATAAACCTCTTCAATTTTTTTTTTTTGAGACGGAGTTTGCTCGTTACCCAGGCTGGAGTGCAATGACGCGATTTCGGCTCACCGCAACCTCCGCCTCCTGGGTTCAGGCAATTCTCCTGCCTCAGCCTCCCGAGTAGCTTGGACTACAGGCGCACGCCACCATGCCCAGCTAATTTTTGTATTTTTAGTAGAGACGGGGTTTCGCCTTGTTGACCAGGATGGTCTCGATCTCTCGACCTCGTGATCCACCCGCCTCGGCCTCCCAAAGTGCTGGGATTATAGGCGTGAGCCACTGCGCCCGG